TACTGATAGGACAGCATATTTTCTGTATAAAGTAAAAACAGAGTAAAATCTCAATGCAGCACAACGAGTACAGCTGTGATCTTTGACGCACAAGTCAGCATGAAAAAGAACCGCCAGGGAATTTTTAAAAACAACCTTAAGTATGGAAAAGGATACCGGAATATCAGCGAGCAACTAAAACACAGTCGCAGCAGTAATCAGGATGTATAAGGCCGTAGTAGCTCCAGTTAGAGCTGCAGCGGCCGTCCTCCTGAGATGACGCTGTGCTACTTTCACAATCTACCTCTAGAAAGAAAAAAAAAGACAGGCAGGTACTTCAGACTTGGCTCAGAGGTTATCAGTGGAAATTGGAGTTTGTGTGACAGCTCAGACAGTGTGAAGGACACTGCATAACTTGAACAACTTAAGATGAGAGAAAAAAAGAAAACTACGACTTGGCCAAGGGTGTCTCTTAACTTGAGTCCAATTGAATGCCTTTTTTTTTTTAAGAGTAAGGCAGAGTAACACAACCCCTCCAGCAAAGAACAACATGGAAAAATATAGTGGAACAGCTGTCAACGCTGGTATCCTCCATGCACGGGACAATAGAGTCAATGAAATAGAAGATTTAAATCTCAGGATTGATATAAATTTGAATTCTTTGACATTTAAGTGACAGTGCTCAGTTGTGTTGTAAACCGTAACAATACTTCTTTGACATGGAAGCCAGTTTTTCGGGTAAACAATCCAACATAGTTTGGCCATTGTACGAAAAATCTTCTCTATTATCGTCATCGCAAAGATGATGAGAACCATTGGACCACATCTCCTTTCACTGTAAATTATTTCATATAACAGTGTACCGGAGTAGCATCTGATGTTAGCGTTGTTGGTCTAGTTAGCTGGTTAGCTAGACGTGGTAGTTATAGAGTGAGTATTGTGCTAAGTTTGTGTTTATGAACCGCTGGCTGATGCATCCGGCTCCTGCGTGATGATCCACGTCCACCTGTAACATCACCAGGAAGCACATAACAACATTACATAGTACATCCTATGTAATAATGTCACATGTCCACGGCATGTACAGCCTCCGCACCAGTTTAATGTCCCCGTCAGTATCGCATCCATCTTCCAGCTGTGACTTTGTCAAACGCATTGACGCACGCCCACTCCGACGATTAACTTGTGCATCTGTGATTATTTCCTATTGGTCAGCCAGAAGTAAAAGCTAACGTCAATCACAGCGGCTCACTGTAGAAGCAGCGATAGCTCCAGTCTGTACACCCACCTCCTCCCCCCACTAGTTCTCTCCAATAAGCCACAGAGTGAAGCCATGGGTGAAATGAGGTGATTCTAAATCCACTGCGCCTTCTCTCTCTCGCAGTGACAACGACGAGAAGCCACTGAAGGGCAGCCAGCACTCGCTGAGCAGGGAGATCAAAGCGGGGGACAGCGGGGACAGCCTGGTGGACTACGGCGACGAGGACGCTCAGTTCAACGAAGACGGCTCCTTCATCGGCGAGTACGCCGGGCGAAAGGAGAAGAGGGCGTCCGCCGAGATCAAAGCCACCGTTCAGAACCCGGCGTGAGGAGCGGAACCGCCCATCCGTCTTTCCTCCCCGGACATCCGTTTTTTTCATTAAACCTGCCGGGAGGAACAAAACGAAAGAGGAAACAGACATTATCCATACTGAGCACAAGTTTGGTGTCAAATGTAATGCGTCATTGCCAACTGCACACTGCCATTCTCATTTTATAAAAGCTCTGTTTTGTCAAGTTGCAACAGAATGACCATTACTAAATACTTTGTATATATAGTGTATATTGTATGTGCGGAGTGTCTTTTTTTTTTATAATTATTATTACACAAAAATTTAGAGGGTTTGGATTTTCTTTTTTTTTCTTTCCATGACTTCAGCTGCAGTACTGTTTGTACAAATGTTAGGAAAAGTTTACTCCCCATTGCACATCATTAAATGCAGCGTCGCCTCTGATGTCACCTCGTAGCAGGCCACAGAAATGTGTGGATATCAAGTTGATATTTTTCAATTGGAGCATATATTACTGACCTTTTATATTTGAAATGGATTCATTAAATATGATGTAAGATGTGTATAAAGGTTTGTTTATTAACTTATTTTTTTTCCAGTGGTTTTCTACCTGACAAAAATAACGAGTGAAGTCACATATCATTGCATATCATAAACACTGATTTTTTTTGTTCCTGTGATGTTAGAAGGAAATATTATTTAGCTGTTTTAGTTTAGATCCGTTAGAAAGTCTAAATCAGCCCAACACAGATTACTGCCGTACCGGATATGCAGGACAATTTTTTAAAAAATGTAATCCATTACAGGTTGATATTTACCAGATCAAGAAATTTTGCTAATTGAATTTTTCATTAAATTGTCTATTTTGATTTAAAAGCAGTGCGTTTATAGGCGAAAACAGTTTTTAGATAAAACATTTTATAGTACTATAGATGCTAATAGCTGGTATAGCAGAAGATATTAGTTTTGCAAGCAGTCACCTGATCTTTCAATAATGAATTTGATATTCTTGCAGATGATGGATGGATCGATCCTGCTTTCATACCTGTATCCTAAATCTGAATGACTGTGATGCTAAATATGAGGCTGAAGCTAGCAATCCGTTAGCCTAGCTTAGCACAAAGACTGGAAATGGGGCAACAGTCCAAACACAAAAAAAGTGATCCAGAAAAATATACAAATAGCTTCTAAGGTGTCAATTACAGATGGTGGTAGGTGGGTTTTGATTTTCCAGGATAACTGTTTTCTTTCATTCCCCAGTTAAGCTAAGCTAACCGGCTGCTTGCTGGAGCTTCACATTTGGTTCACACACACGAGAGCATTATTGATCTTTTTATTTAACCCATATTACAAGTGCATATGCTTACTTCTCAAACTACTTCTTTTAAAGGAGTGCTTCAGTGGATAAGTATTGCTTTTCCAAAATGTGGAGGGATTTGCACAGAAACATTTTCAGTCAAACTCAAAGCAGCAAAAGTCAAGATCTTTGTATGAGTCAAAAGTCCAAAATCACAGGATCCTACATTTCCCATAATGCATTTTTTTTTAATGTCCAGTTCTTTCACGCTTTATAGATTTGTCCGAGTCCAAGCTGAGATAACCCTGACGACTACGACGTCATTATTTTCTCAGAGGATGAGCACCTGTAATGGATTTAGCCTTCTTATTGTAATCAGATTACTTAATCTGGTTGCGTGATATCCGACATCCACCCACCCCGCTGGTTCAATATGCTGTAGTGAAGTGTTCCATCAGTCTTTAACAAGCCTTACTTTCAACACACTGCCATTTCCAAAACACAGTCGTTATTATTGTTCCGCATTAACGTTAGCAACGCGATCATACAAATTGCAATGTTTTGTAAAGAATTCAACCATTGCATGTTACGAATGTTAATTGGTGTTTTTCGATGTCATTAAATTGCTTTACTTTCCTACGTCCTGCTAATGGTCTGACTGTCTGTCTGCTCGCACTGACGAGACGCTAATAACGGTCTTGATACCTGCAGTAGTGTTTGTGTGTCCCCAGAGATGAATACATGACCGAGTAAATGTCCGCCTTTACTTGAAGTCAGCACTAAAATATGAGCTAATAGAAAGCAGTGTCTGGTGAAATGTCCTGACTCACTCGGAATAAAACAGAAGACGTTCCGCCAAATTGTTCCCATCTGGCGTATGACTCTTAACAAACGTCGCGCCGGGATAAAAGTCTTGAGCCCGAGCTCGAGCATCTTGTTTGATTACTTTGGCTGCAGCGGTTAATCACGAGAAATCAAAGAAGTTGCACCGAGACAGGCACTGGATCAAGGAGCGAGAGCTGTAATCATGTCTGACGGCGCCAGCGGGGATTGTGGGGGAGCAGAGAGCGTCGGCGTGAGGGTTCTCGAACGCTCTCTCATCACTCAACCGGGTCCGCCCGAAGCTGCCGCCCTGAGAGGCTTCGGCTTGCACGTGCCTCGACCTTCAGGTGTTGATAATGGACGCCTCTGGTCGCCGCGCCGAAGGTCCTCCTCGGCTCCCTGGCAACAATACGAACAGCTGGACGTGCTTGTACGCGTGCAATCAGTGCTGGGGAAGCTACTTACAGAGCTTAATTGTGCAACATAACAATTACCGCTCTCTGGAGAGAAAGTGAATTACATCGCAGCAAGAGGAAAACAGTTGGGAAAACTAAAGCCTGTCTGAGAAAATGCATAAAAAAAGTCAGTGCAAATGAAATGTGGTGCAGTATGGAAGGGTTTGTGAAGGGTTTTTTTTTGTGAAATAGGCCCATATGTACTGGTAGGTAGATGGCACGAGTTATTGGTTGGTTCTTTGGTTCTGTCCACTGGATGTGAAGTGGTCACTTCTTGAGCAGACAAGATCCACAATGTATTCTGTGCATTGAACTGAAGCTTCTTTGTTTTGATGTGTTTGGGAACCAAGAAGTTGTTCAGCACTCATATGGGCATCAACGTACTGCTTGAGACATACCTAAAAATTATTAAAACCTGTTATGCTCAATCCATCCATCCATGAATCCATTAACTATATTAAACTGGACTGGTCCATCACAGGGCTAAGATTGAAACACCCAAAGATATTTAACACCATACTTGACCATCGTATGCATCAAAGTCATCATCTGCAGGCTCTTGGGTTTGTCCAGAATAGTAATGACTGTCGGTGGGATGAAAAACATTTGTTGTAAGACTGAAGCTCAATTCAGGCAGCTGCTGGTGACCAACGTAAGCAACCACTCCAACGTAGGGAGAATAATTAGCATGCTCTTGAAGATAATCGTAAATATGCTTATTTTCTGTGGCACCATGGTATGAACAGACTCCTTCATCCATGCAGTGGATCAGATTGTACATCGGGGTGTGAGATGGAGGTTATTTTCTTGGGAGCACACACTCCCACCACATTAGCTTTTATGCACCTCTTTGGACTGTAGCAGGATCAACCGGTGTTAACCCAAAAAAAGCCTAAGGAGGCTGTTCAAACTCCACACAGAAAGATCCCTGCAAGTTCAAACCCAGAACCTTCTTGCTGTGAAGCCCCAGTGCTAACCACTGAACCACTCCGCTACACTGAAGTACTGTTACTTATAGTTGTTGATATTCTGAGGTCTCACTTGTGCTCTTTAAAACTGGGCACAGCGTAAGCTTTACAGTCTGTGGAAAAATGTGATCAATTAATTAACGTGGTGAGGAATCTGTGCAAAAATGTTTGAACTTGAAGGAAAATTTAGCACGCCTCTTTGGGCTTTATGAATCTGCTTCAGAATGGTAGATGCATAAAGGATGGGACGCTGAGAGGGAAATGATGAAGTCCACATGCCTGATGCTTTCTGTTGACCCACAGACTAGTAGATAATAGACTGATGTAGCCTCTGAGTATGAAGATGGAAGTGGGTGCAAAAGTGTCATACACCTACAGTCCAGCAGGGGGCGACTCCTCTGAGTGCAAAAGAAGTCAAGAGTCTATAAAGTGTATCAGAAAATGACCTTACTTCTCCTGTGATCTGTTACTGAGGTAAACGGCCCCAGAGCCTCTGTCTTCTCTCACTCTCGTCTTGCAGGTTTCTGGCTGGGCGGAGCCTCCAATCTGCTAACCTGGTGCACCTGGACAATCTCACTGACTATATAAGCCGGCTTGCTGTGCCAGATCGCTCTCTTCTCCCGTACCCAGCCAGTCATGCTCCTGTGTTTGTCTCTTTTTGTTTGTTTCATGCTGACAACATGCACCACACATCAATCACTGCACTCATACACCCTCGCACACCACTGACGCTCACAATCACACCTCACGATTCTACTTAGTTTTAATAAATAGCCTTATGTTACAGCTGAATCCACCTGTGTGTTTCCTCCTTTGTTGCGGCCTAAGAGCCAGTCGTAACACTGAGGTAAACATTTTCCTAGTGAGATTATGGTCTCAGTTGCTAGTTTCAAAACTTTTTGAACACAGCATAATGTTCATTTTGTAAATTAGGGTCCAATTTAAAGTAAATTATATGATAAAGAAGGCTATGTTTTAGGGTGGGGCTACCTTGGGATGAACAGGTTGTGACTAGTTTCAAAAAGTCCACAAACCACTGGGTGATGTCAGTCGCTACGTCCATCTTTTATACACTTGTATTCTTCTGTGTCTATGTGCTGGACACAATTCTTTGTACTGCACATATGTATAGCAATTACATGTTCAAGTTCAGACCCAGTGCCACAAATGATAGACTGCTGTTCAACATCTTTAAATGAAAATGTAAAAACATGGACATGTCTGTGATTTGGAAGGTTAAGCTATCATTCATGCAGGAGGCCAGACGGTGCTTGTCCACAAGCACCAGCCTTCATAATCCCATTTGACTGAACTATTCATGTTTTAGATGTCTGCCCTCACGGAACATTTCATCTGTAAAATCAACAAAATCGCTCAGTAGGACTACTGACCTAAACCTAACCATGTTATGCTTGCTGCCTAATGAAACATATGAAAAATATGTGCTATGTTTCAGTTGATTGTACCGCAAGCAAAAAAGTTAGATGATGTCTGCTTAAGGAGGAGGTTGGGGTGGATGGATGGGCTGACACAGTACAGGGTAGAGGAGCTTTTGTTTTTCATTTCAAAATGATCATCCCCATTGTTTCTGTTTAAACACTGTGCCTTATTAAAACCTTGATAACTTTATCTAAGCACTCATGCTAATCCTGACAGTGATTCTTACCTCTAGCCAAACCTTTGCCATACTTAAAAATCACAGAATGGTTAGTTATTTGGTTCTCCAGTGAACACTATCCTGTTTCTGTGTGGATTTTAGTTGCAATCAACAAAGACAGCAACTGGTGTTACAGCTATCTTGCATGAAAACGTGCAAAAACTTTTAAATACATAGAGGTAACAGCTGTAAATAGATAGTAAAGCTGTCCTAAGCTTAACCACACATTCGAGGAGGCCTTCAGCATAGAGTTTTTTGTTGCTTATAACTTCCCCTGCCCTTATTATAAGAGCATTTAGCTTTATGTATGCATGCTCTCAATGCATATAAAAGACAGCTGAGTTACACCAGACCTTCATGGTTTACGTTTTGTTTGGCTGCACATCTGCTTAAATTCCATCAGTGACTGAAAGCATTGACCAGATTTATGACACAAACAAACGTCAAATCATGTCCTAAACATTAACAAGGGGTACATTTAGCCAACCTTAGCACAAAGACTGGAAGTAGAGGGGGCATTCTCTCTGGAGTTCAAAAGTGTATTTAGCGGCACCTCTAAAGCCTTCCAATTACACTTTTTTAAAAAATATAAATCTGTCATAGTTTAATCTGTACACAGACAGAAATTTTCAAAATTCAAAATTCAGAAATGCAAGAAAGTGGTTCAAACAGGTTTCCAGCAGCCACGGCACAAGTTTTGGTAACAAACGCAGCAACCTCACTGACATTATTGGACTTCAGGAAGCACAGACACTGTACTTGGTGGTTGTTTTCAAAGAAATAGTTCCAGCACTGAACTCCCATTAAAAGAAAGTACACATTTAATGTTAATTGTGTGTTCCTGCTTAATCCAAAACATGTTAATTATGTTAATTTGAGCCCCAAGCCTTGATTATCCTGTCGTCTACACAAAAGGCTGCAGACACCCACGGATGCAGTTGTTGCTACAATAATACTTTTCTAGTCAGTAGAAGTCCACTTGGAAGACTCTGTTGCATACCAAAAATTATGCTCCTATGCGACTAAATTGCATTCTCAAATATGTCACTTTGTTTAGAAATTAACATAGTTTGTGAACTATGATGTGTTGGGAAAGGCGGCCATTTTGAAAAATGACAAAGTCCTCATTAGGATGTAGGAGATGTAACTGAAGGCATAAACCAGCGACCAGGTTTCCCCCAGAAGATTAATTTGCATCCTGTGAGGTACTAGAGAGCATTATTCTCAGAATTAAGTTATATTTTTGGTTGTTGTCTACTTTATCACTCGATTTCTGATTAAGTTTGGGCACCAGAAGTACATGGTTAGGTTCATAAATATATCAGCTTTGTTAGACACTTTTATACGTTAGAAGCTTGGTTAAGGTTAGGGCACCAAAATTATCTGGTTAGGGTTTGGAAAAATATCATGTTTAGAGTTAAAATACAGCCATTTTACTACATGTTTGAACCAGCTCCTCCATTTTCTGGGTTGCCGGGGAGATGATTCCCGCCAAAACTGATATATGATTGGTTGACTGGAAAGGAGCAACATGAAGCTGTAAAAATAAAGGCAAAGGGTAGAAACATATTTGTGGTATGTTTCAAACGTGATCCAACAGAATATATGTTCAAAACATAATTGAGGATGCCGTTTAGTCATACAGGAACGTCATTTTGTGGAAGCATTATTACTATTGACTACTGACCAATGGCAGTCGTAGGGACGTGAAAAGTCCAACACTGGACCAGACCTGTA